AGTGAAGGTAGTTAAAATCGAATTGGTGTCAATGGGAAAAATTGTCCTTTTAACACTATTTGTGGACATGAACTTCGATGTTTGCCAAAACAAAATCTTGTGTAGAAGCTGTCAGAGTCTAATGTTCATTTAGTGGCCATGTTTTAATATAATAATTATTCTCTTTCTCTCTTCATACAAGTTTAGTGTCCCAAATTTCAGATTATTGCAGAAAAAAAAATAATAAAGTACTCACAGTTGAACAATGAAATAGTTAACAGGTTATATTTTAGCGATAAATATTGTTTGATTTCTTTTAAGATTAATTTCTTTTTAAAATGACAGAAAAATAGGAACTCTTTGAGGCTGCTACAGTTTCCAGACAGTGTCAGAAAGGTAAATAGTAGACAGGCAGAAGTTAGAAAAAAATTTGAGCAGTTTTTTTATTCATTGACATCACAGTTTCTCCTGAATAGCAAACACAAAAAAAAAAATTATCTAATAACAATGAAAAAGATCTTTAGTCTTTGAGGTTTTTCAATGAAGCTACAGAAAACATATGAGGAGATGGGAAATAAAATAATTCATCATCATCAATATATGTTGTATTCAGTAGCGTGCAGAAGGGGGGGGGCAATGGCTTTGGGCATCCAATGAAAGAGTGAAATAACAATTTAGTTTATAATTAATTTGAACAAAGTGTTTATTTCATGTTTCATCTGCTTTTACAATACTAGCCTCCCCCCCACTTGAGTTTTTGGGGCATACAATAAAACAGTTGACCCCAGATATCACCAAATCACTGATTGTATTATTGACAAAAGTTCTTTAAACCTTAATTATCGTTATAGACAATCATTGTTAACCTTAATTATCATTATAGACAATTGTTTAATTTCAATTTACAAAGCATAAAGTAATTATTTAATAATTACTTTGTAAATTGATAGATTTAACACATTTTGATTAACAGCCAACTTTAATAAGTTGTCTCCAGTTGATAAATTAAAATTAATGGGTTTAAATTTTGTTAACTTTATAGTGATTTTAAAGAACTAGTATTATCTTTAGATGCAGTTTTAAACTGACATAAAAACATTTGAAGACAAATTCAAAACATTGACTTATTAAATAATCTGAAAATTGTACACTGCACCAATTTTTTTTTCCATTCAAAAGGCTTTCAAATGGTTTGAGAAATAAATAAACTTTGCAAACAAAAATTGTTGTTCCAAATTGAGAATTTTTAATGCTAATTTAACGTAAGCACCTAAGCTTGTAAGAAATAAAGCTAAATATGTTTTAATTTATGCAAACTTCAGTTCCAAAGCAAATAGAGTGCTGTGTTGTTGGAACTAAGTCAGTAGTTAAATTCACATTTTGTTCATTTCAACTGGGATTGTTAGAAGTCTTTCTCTGTGTGTGGATTGTTCCATACCAAATGTAAGAGAGCTCATTATAATAATAGTACATTATTTTATTCCAGTCAATGGATGGAATACGACTGTAGATAAATAAACGGGTCCCATTTCAGTTTATCACAGAAGTCTTTTTTTTTTTCTTTTTATTTCTTTTAATTCATAAGGAGTTAAAAATGAAAAATTTTGAACATTCCCCCAGTTGAAAGGATTCATAAAATGAACCATTTTTTTTCTTTTTTTGTTCTAAACAGTTTTTTATTTTTTTGCTCTGAGGTAAAACTAAAATCTAAAAGATGCAACCAACACTTCCATGACAATGCCAAGCAACATGGCACTAGAAATGAGATGGCGGCCAGCCTGCCATTTATTGGAGAGAGAAAAAAAAAAAAATATAAGAGAGAGAAAACTCCCAGGGAGGGGAGCCTCATGTTGGCTGTGGTCACAGCATTAAGTTAATTTTCATAGAAATTGGCACTTGTTGACTTTAGAAAGAGTCAAGCTGAACTATACAAGAAATAATGGTCTGTGTTTTGTTTTTCTTTTTAATGGAATGAAATACTCAGAGAAATAGACACACTGCTTTGACTCTACAAGTAAAGAGAGATCTACAAAGCCAGGAGATAACAGGTAAGCTCACATTCAACTTCAGTTTAGATTTAAATACACCATAAATTATTGCTCATTTATTAAACAGTAAAAATTATTGAACATTCAATTTACATTACAAAGTGTTAATCAACAGAAAACTTGTCCAAATTAAAAAAAAAAAATAAATACAGAAACACCAACATCTCAGTGTCGATACAAAATGCATGGATGAAAATCTCCCTCCCCCCAAACAGAGGTTGAAGTTTACAAAATTTACAAATAAGTATTAAGATCCATACTATATACAAATTGGTTTGTTTTACCCTTATGAAAGTAGATTTTTATTTTTTTTTTTTTTTTAAGGGGGGGAGCACCCCTATTTAGAAAATGTGCCAAACAGACCCACAGGTAATTTATTATCCTGTTTGTTTTTTTTTCTTTTCTTAATCCACATAAGTTTTCTTCTCAAAACATTTTTTTCTAAGTTGTCAAATAATAATAATAATAATAATGAATATAATTACATACCTCATTTTCTCTTTAGGCAAATTAATCAATAAATGAACAGTCTAGTTTATTGTCAAATAGGATATAATAAAAAAAAAACAACATTGTCGAAAAAGTTTGTGTAAGGAGGAGTAGGGGGGGGGGTAACAAAAAAGTTTTCAATTAATTAGTACACTATTTGTTAAAAGAACATTATCACTGAACATTAACTATGAGCAAAATTTGAGCTTTTATATTGATGTCTATCATTTGAACAAGGAAGCAAATAAGACACTACAAAATAGTTATATTTGAAGTTGAAAAAAAAAAATTAAGGTTTCAATCACTTTTGCTGCACTGCAAATGTGCAACACAGAAAGTAAAATAAAAGATTTGAATTATACTGTTATCGGGACAGTTATCTTAAATTAGGTTTCGTTTTTTTTCTTGTTTTTTTTTTTTAACTTAATCCTATTGACAGAAAGGCACTAAAATTTAAACTCAAGAACTTAAAATGTATTTACATAAATTATGTTCAGCATTAGACTAACATTAAAAATCCGTGATTTTACATAAATATCTATCAGCTGCCTTCATTGTTGTGATAATTACTGATTTTTAATTGAACATTAAAATCAACAGAGATTGAAAGAACAATCATTGTAATTTTTTTTTTTACTATAAGTAAAAATGTTAAAGATTGCTACATTAAAGTAATCTTTACAATGAGAAAAAAAAAAACTATGACAAGGCATTTATTGAGAAGCTTAACCTAATATTCATAATAACAACTCCCCTAAGCCATGCCACACTCCATTACATATGTAAAGGGAAAACAAAAATTACTCACAAAATAACCTGTATTTTTTATTTATAATTTCTCAAAGAGAAAAATAAATGGTTATACAGACAAAAAAAAAAAAAAAAAATTAAATACTTTAACAGCTAAATCAATTTCTTTTTCTTGTTGGCAGTTTCAAAACTGGCATTGACAGAAAAAAAAAAGAATTCCATCCTGTCTGCAAACTATATTAAGTTTTTGAGAATGAAATGTATTTTAACAAACACCGATTTTATAATCATTTAAAATATGTACACATTAAGGATTTGGGGACACCCTTTATTTTGTGCCCCCAAAATTGATTTGTAGTATCTAATCACAAAATTTACTGTATATATCTATACAAGTTTAACTATTTTAGAAGCGTAAAGCTCAATTTGTAATTGTTGTCGAAAAGATTCGTTTCAGATGACTGGATTCTAGTTGAATTAAATCTATCAGGGCTTTTTAATTTCCAAAAATTACCTCTTAAGAAAAATAGCAGTAAAAGTTTGGTTTTACAATTAGATTTGTGTTTTCATTCTGCCTTTCAAGAATTTTGACAATTCCTCTTAAATAAACAAAATATTTAAATGTGAGATTTCTTGTAAAAATGTCAGAATTGTTTTTTTGTTAAAAAGAATATTAAAATAATTATTGCAATAATTTTTTGTTTAAACTCATAAAACATTTAAGAAGTTTTGTTTTGAAAATTAAATCTAGTTTAACTTCTATTTTTTCATCACATAAATAAAAATTAATTTCTGATTGTAGAAGTGAAAATTTCTATAAAAACAGGGCAAATAGCTTGAATAAGTTACAGTATAGAGGGAGACAGGTTTCTTTTCTGTGTTTTTTTTTCTTCTTCCCAAAGAGGAGTGTATAATAACAAATAGCAGGTTTCAAGGTGCACCGGTAAAAACTGTAAAAGAGATTAACAAAGTAGCAATGTATTTTGGTAAATTCCTTTCTCTGAGTATCAGATTGGTAAGTTATCTTTTTCCGTTTTTTTTTTTCTTTTTTTTTTCTTCAAAAATACACAAAATTCTGAATATGAAAAAGATGTATCAAACTGGAGTATAAAGCACATATCTGAATAATACTTCTTAAAAAATAGACAATACAATTTGCCTCGCATTAACTGACGTGCACTCTTGAACCTTACAAACAGCTAAATAGAGAGAATCCTTATTTAGGAATTATTCCAGTTATCAAATAGAAAATGTTACTTCAAATCATAATTCCAAAATTTCCGTTTTGATTTTGGTTTAACAGGAGAAAACTTAGTGGAAAAATAATTTTATGTAATTACAAATACGTTTAACTGAATCCTTTGAAAAGAAAGTAAACAAATTGTATATTCAGTTCTTTTTTTTTTTTAGTTGCTTATTATCTTAAAGCATTTTGTCAAAGAAATAAGGCTACTTATTAAACTAAACTGTTGGTCATAAAAGTCATCAATAAAGAACAAACATCCTCCAAAGTTTAAAAAAAAAAAAAAAAAAGAAAAGAAACCTCCCTTTAAAGAAACAAGAGAGGAAAAAAAAAAAGATTTTTGAATTACAGGTATTGTTTTGTATCAAATTTTAAACAGATGTAAGTAATTTTACTTTCCATCAGTTTTCAATGTTTCCATCAGTTTATTTCTTCCACAGCAATTCAGCTGATTAAAAAAAAAAAAAAAGTAATCCTTGGAATACAAAATGTTATACTGACGACTCTTTTAGGCAAGGTGCACAAAGTTTCTCTTGATGAAAAGCAGTTTGTTGCCGTTTGTATTTAGTCAAATAATATGGACGCTGGTAGTGGTCATTTGCTGAAAGAGATCGGGATGCTGAGCCCTGAGATGAACCCGACTTGTAGGCCCATTTCGAATGGGTGTCAGCCAACTGAGAATCTGCACTATGTGATTGTTGCAGTTGAATGCTTGAACTGTGCAAGTTGGATGGTACTATTCGACCATTTGTTTTGGGAGGTGCCTGCTGAGAGTTGGCACCAACAGGGGGCTGTGAATGTGATTCAATGTCATGGTAAGTTTTGGAGCGTGCCATGAATGCTTGGTCATTAGGTCCAAACTGGTCAAGGTGGCTTGGGCTTTCTGTCCGAGCAATAGTAGCATACTTTTTAACAGTTGGGTTAGATGCGCTTGATTGAGTTGGTCCCCCTGAAACAAATAAAATTGGTTTTATATTACATAATACTTTCAGCAGGCAATCCCCACCCAAAAAAAAGTTAGTCAACTTGAAAGCTATTTTCTGAAAAATTGTTTAAATAGAAAGATTTTATAAATTTCAACGGAAAGTAACATTGACTGCTTGCTTAATGTTTCCTTATAAAGAAACAGCTAGATATGACAAAGACAGATATTATACTCACCCCCTCCCCCTCTCTGACAGTAACGGGACATGGCACAAGCCCAGTTTATAATAAAGGAGGTCAAATGCATGCACTTGGGCTAAGGCCAAAAATTGCCCAGTCCCCTGAACCAACATCACAGACATTGATACTACACCAATCTCAAACATTTTGCTGCATTGAGGGAGGTGCAGTCACAAGGTTGGAATCCCCAGGACTAGGCATGCCTCATTTATTCGTTATGTTCTGTATGGAAAGAAAAACAATTCAGAGACAAAATGTACTTTGTCAGTTTATACAGCAGATTGTATTTACTAGCCATCCCAGTCTTACAGGAAATGGCTTAAGGTCAGTTTAATGTGGGAAGTCTGAGCATATTCACCTGGCTCAGGTACAAAAATAGTCAACCAACCATTGGTTGTGCTGACATCAGTATAACAACCGATTCTCCGTCTTTAGTACAATAAAGGAGATACTGCCACAGAAACTATTATGCATAAATATATATATATATATATTTTATATGTGTGTGTATATATATATATATATATATATATTTTATATGTGTGTGTGTGTGTGTGTATATATATTTATATGTGTGTGTGTGTGTGTATATATATATATATATATATATATATATATATATATATAGATATGCATAAATATATCTCCACTGGCGCCAAAGGGCAGACGACTTCAGGCAGGCACGGACAGCATCAGCATGTGTACTTTTAGGAATAACAGGTAGAGTCTGCCTAAAGTCACCTGCGTGAAGAAGGGTTACTCCACCCATGGGGTCGGAGGAGTCGCAGATGTCTTGGAGACTTCGGTCAAGTGCCTCAAGCGCGCACTTGTGTGTCATCCCAAACTATAAGTTTGCATCTCCGTAGAACTTCAGCCTGAATTGTTATGTTGCAGAGAGGAGTTTGTGACTGGCATAGATCAAGCGGCAACCTAAAAGCCGAATGAGCAGTTCTACCTCCCAGTAGCAACATTGCAGCAATCCCGAAGATGGGCCATGCAATCGCCAACTCCCCCACGATGTCGTTACCTCTGCCAGGACTAATTTAGTAACAAAAGTTTTGCCAGCTCCTCCGGGCGCATCTAAAAACTATATACCTCCACTGTAGCCGTTTGCCCTGTCTGTTATCGTAGTGAAAGCAACCCTCGGATCAGGTAGAAGTTGGGCTAGTTTTTGGTAATGTATGCATTCAGCCCCTCGATGGAGTAGTCTCTGAGCGGTAGTGGTAAACCGTAAGTTGGTAAAGAGTCACCTCCCAGTTCGAAAACAACATCTTCTAGGGCCACCAGCGCTCTGTTGAATATGAAGTTAGTGAAACTGCATTCAACTCCTGGGCTGTTACGCTGAACCGGTTGTTTGACCACACGTAGTAGGACGGGACTTGGGGCTATATCAATGTTTTGGCAAAAGCATCTGTTGAGCATAATTTAAAGAAAGTCATTAGAGTAGTGTCTTTAGGGTTTTCTGCAGTCTGCTGGGCGTTTTGTTCAGTGAAGTACATCCTCTGTCCAATTTCTAAGTGAACAGCAAGCTGCACAATGGCTGGAGCCCTTTGGTGTATGGGGAATCGGAAAATTCACCAAAAGGCCTCGCTACTGCTAAGGTAGCATCCAGCCACGTAATCAGCCATCTCGTCAATGCAATTGTTGCACCAGATACCGAAAACAGCAGCATCACTGCCTTTATTAACGTTTAACTTAACCGAGTGGCAGTATTCAACGTTCATGTGGGCTCCAAAAGTCTTGGACAGCAGCGGGCAATAAAGCACCACCCAACGATTGTCCAGAGTGTGCCCCTTACCTGTCACAGTTCTGCCACTCTCAGCGGAGCTTCTACGTCTGTACAGTGGGTAAGCATCCATCGCAGTCTGCGTTTCTGAGATAAACTTGGGGCCACTTGACCAACATGACCTTTTTTCGTAATTTGCGCCACAGGAGTCATGTATTATATTGTTTTTAATGATTTCGTAGAGCAAAGGATCCAGCACAGGATCCGGAATTTCAACAGAAATAAAACTGTCTATTTTGTTTCCGTCAACCTTATCGTTGAGCCACAGCAGAATGTGGGCATGAGGCAAACCGTGTTTCTGCCATTCCAATGTATACATATGACACTTAACGCGTCAGAAGACTTGCCCTTTAAGGATTAAATCCATAAGCTTACACAGCTGTAACCAGAAAATGCGAGCAATTAGGTCAGGGCGGTGTGAGTACTGCTGACCTGGATAAAGTTTGCGTGTGATTTCAACCCATTTTGGATTGCACGTAAACATGACAAACAAATCAGGCCTCCTGTAATGACGGACATAGGTCATTGCGTCTTGTGTCCTTTCATGCATGTATCAAAGGCCACCAGTGTAAGAGGAAGGCAAAATGCACAGTTTGCCAAGATTGCGTGGGTCACCATCAGAATGCAGACCATCACAAAGTTGAATGTAGGGGTTGGTTCTAAGTTTGGATTGGTTTAACTCGATGAATCCTAACCTCTCCGACTCCATTTTTGCAGCCATGTCAACAGCGAATTGAAGAAATAGTTGATGGCATCTGTGCAAGTGGTTAACTTCACCCTCCCTAACCATAAACATGTAGGTGTAGTAAGCCCTACAGGAGACCGTCTTTGAGGTTGACATGGAATCACTGCTTGCCTGGTATATTGGGATTTTGAAGCTGTACCCATCACTTCTGTATGGAAAAAGAAGGAGGTACTGGAGACAGTCATATGAACGGTGGGTTTCACTGATGCAGCGCAGACCACCGCTCCGGTACCTTATGACAATGTCACGGCTGTTATGCTCCTCATGGATGACTGCGGTGACTTCATTACATGCAGGAGCATTGAAGTGACGCTCATGCTCACCATGAGGCCGTCTGTCTGCATCGATGACAACACTGAAAGAGAGCAAAGAGTTGTTTTGCAATGCAAACTTTAAGCTTCAGATGTAACTGTTAGTTTAGTGAAGCATGTCTTGTAGACGGTACAGAATGTCTCTACGGGGACTGACAGAAATATCACTAGGCAGAAAGCCAAGACGCACATCAACCTGCTCGTTTGTAGTCAGCGAAAAAAGTAAATTTGTAGGAACTGAGATGGCTCTCCCTGATCAGCCAAAAGTGATTCCATTAAGTGGTAAACCTGGCCTTGCACTTTGAAAAAAGTAGGCATCCATCCCCCTCACTAATAGCCTTCGCAGAAAAAAGACATCATCTGGAAGCAATAGTTGTACTTCCGTGAGATTGCTTCATGAAAATGCGTTGACTCTGAAGTTGTACCCAGAAGGGATCTCGGCGGCTTGGGGAGGTTTGTCTAAAGAAGGGGGTTTGATTTTGCCCCCAGGCAACAAAACCCATGTTTCTCACCGCCCACTTTTTTTGCATTCATAAAAGTGCAAACTTATCCATGGTCCCTATTTGTACATCTCTCCTAGCGGAATAGTTGACAGTGCAGTCATAATTGTATGCAGCATTTGACCAAAATGATGCAGATGGCGAAGTTACACCATTCAAAGAAGCTCGAAGTTGGCTAATGTTTTTGAGCCATTGATGGCATACTTCAGAGCTTTCTGCAGCCCTGGCAGACGCAGTAGAGCGGGCATTTCTAACGTGACGAACGGTGGTCTGTGCAGGGCTTTCTAAGGCTCTGGCAGAGGCGGTGAATAGGGAATTTCTAAAGTGATGATAAGCGGTTCCTTGTAGTTGTTCCAAAGCTCTAGAGGTGGCTGTAGCCCTAGTATTCCTAAGACAATGTAAAGTTGTTTGTTTGGGACTTTCTAAACCCCTGGAGCAAGCTTTGGCGGTGACATTCCACAAACATCGAAGGGTTTTCTGTGCTGGGGACTGTGAATCTCTCAACCTAGCCACGCGGACTACGTCCTGTGAGTTCTGAAGTGAACATTTTCAGCTAAAAGTCTGGCACAGCGTGTGGACATCGCTGAAGCCAACCTTTCAGTCCGTGCAGTGGCGCTTTCCATAGATAAGTGAGTAACTGAGTTCAAGGCCATCCGTGAAAGACACAAAAAAGTCTGTTCAGTGGTTTCACTCGCCCTCGCTGCTCTAGAAGCGGAGGCAGCTGCCGTGCGCCATCCCAAAAGTTTCCTCCTTTAGGTGGCATCCAAACAGTAAAAACGTCAAAGAGGGTAAAGCTTAAAAAAGAGATTTCGACAAATCCAAAAACGAAAAAAAACGTGCACTGCTAATGTAGGCACAAAAAAGGGGAACACCCAGTAAAAATGAGTTCAGCTGTTACTAAAGGGGAACTCAAACTAAAAAAGTGAAAATTAAAAAAAAAGGTAAAACCAAGGGTAAATCCAAAAAGGAAATGGGTTTTTAGTACAAGTGGTTAAGGTGTGTGGGGTTGAGCGGAACTATAAAAAAAAAAAGCAGATAGAACACATAATCAACAACTAGTGGTGTTTACAAACAATAAAGCATAAAGTGTGAAAGCACACCTAATGTATAAGAATAAGGTGGTTGACCTTGAGGGCACTTATACATAAGCTAACACACAATCACGCAGGTGCTATAACGTGTGATAAATGCACGATGATTGATCAGGCCACAAGGTCAAGCTCTGTGAAAGCGACCAATGGGTATGCAGTAGTCTTGATTCGGACTCGGTTTATGCAGCTACGTTACAAAATTTTTGCCGGTTAAAAAATTCTGAAATTTGACACACATAAGGCAATAATAAGCCACAAGTGGCTTAAATTTCATTTGATTCAGCCAAAACTGTACATACTGCTAGTGAATGTGTGTTCAGAGGGCTAAATCCTGGGTCCTTGGTACCCCGTTTATGGTTCCCTGGTCAAGCGGGTTTTGACAGTCTTGCAAACAATTTGGTACTTGTTAGATAGTCAAGCGTTAGTGCTATCAGAAACTGGACCATTTGCTTTGTTTTGGTGGCTTGGTAACAAAACATTGTCCAACAACTGCAAAAAATCTGCATAAATAGCCCTTACCTGTGCTTTCAAATTGATTTTGTGCATAAACAATTGTGTTTTTTCAATTTTTTGCACAGGGTAATTTTATGTAGTCCTGTGAAGTTTTGTTGAAATCAGTTGAAAAATGTAGGAAATCCGACCTCATATATAAAGGAACAGACAGACACGCACACAACCTGGGTTTTATAATAAGTAAGATGCATAATATATATATATATATATATATATATATAAAAAGAAGTTTATAAACAGACAAAGGTGGTACTTGAGTGATGGAACAGCAACACGGGCATAGATGAAAGAAAGACAGGTTTATTGTAAAAGAGAATACACTACTGAAAGACAGGGAATTGGGTGGTAAGGTAGTATTTCCTGAAGTAAGGATATCTACCAACCGCCTCACACGGTCAGATGTGGCACAAGGCCAAATTTAATGTGTGGCTCTGAGTAGGCTCAGCCGAAAATTCCCTGTATAAAACGGAGTCAAGAGACTGCCTTTCAATATAGCCTCATCTGGGGATCCTTTCTGCCCAGAGGCAGAGAGTTTGACTAGCACAGCTGGAGATGAATCTCCAACTAATTCCTGAAGCTAGCCCCCAGGTATATCCTTTTCTCACTCTTTATATTATATATATATATATATATAGCTATAGCTATATAGCTACTGATAAAATTAGATGGCCATCCAGTCTCAGAGAAGGACTACTCTGAACTCAAGAGAGAACATAAGAAGGCAATGATCTTTCCCAAAAAGTCATGGCAATTCACACACACACATCCTGATGGAACGTGTGCTAATGTCATATATTTACTATATGTATGTGTATTTATAAAATCTCTAAAAATCTACGTAATATAATTTCATAAAGATTATCCAACATCTTTTAAAAATTTAGTATCAGACACAGAATATTTTAATAAATGAAATATATTTTTTCCAATAAGTTACAATCAAAATTGAATTCTACAATTGTCCAAGAACAAAAATAATATAAAGAAAGGAAATGTAATTTACCATTTTTATGCCAAATATTGACTGTTCCAGGCAACAACTTGGGTTCATCTTCATCATCTTCATCTGGAGTACATGCAGACCGACTACTATTAGAATCTGCATAGGGAAAATAAGGAGGAGGAACCATAGCTCTTGCTTGGGTGCCAATTGTGCCTTGTGGTTCTAAAACAGCAACTGGTGCCATGTGGACTGGAGGTGGGGAGGGGGTGATGATAATGAAGTGATCGAACTGATGAAAGAGGAGGTGGCAGGGACCGTTGCCGCCAACGCGGGGTTGGTGGCGTGGAACTACGATACGAAGCACGGCTTATGGTCCGTACGGGTGGCAAAGGAGGTTCTTCCGTGTTCAATGAAATCCCGTGCAAAGGGTAAATCCAATGGCTTCCTCTTTGAACTTCTTCTGCTTGTCGATTGAATAAACTTCTACGTTGATAGAACAACAAGTAAGCTGCCTTTGTCACCACGTCATTTTTAGAAATAGGCTTGACACGTGAATCATCATAGTGGTACCAAGAACCGTCGATAGGATTCTTGCAAAAAGCTGCAAAAGACACAGAAGAAACCATAAAATCTTGTCAACAATAAATCAAACATTTTTACAATGGTAGACAGTGGAATGCCAAACAATGTGCGTATGCAAAATTATTCATATTATCTGTATTTAGCAGGCATGTACTGCCAGTAATTGCTCAGGGTATAATGACCTTTATATAGTAAATCTACAAAAACAAAAAATTTTGCATTTTAATCAGAGTAACCTTCATAATTTTGTTGGACTAAATGCATATTGTGCCACAGAAAGAAAATGTAGGTGGTGATCTACTTTATTCAAGGTAGTCATGTTCCCGATATCTAGGCAGTAGTCCTTCATTAATATACTTTTCTATAGTCTTTAACAAAAAGTGTATCTCATCTTGTTCCCTCGACATGGACAGCAGATTGAGAACAATCTACCCTCATAGATTGAGTAAAGGGTTCACACTCCTCCCCAGTTTTTTGAACAGGAGTAGTGCTTTATCCCTTGTTTCCTTTTTAGAATTGGGTTTCTTGTTCCTTCTAAAGCCTGTTTCAATTCTATATGCCTGACACTTGTTCTTTCCTATGTTAATATAAGTCAATGCAGTAACACTCTATCTTAGGTGACACTTGGGCCTTATATTGGATGAACATTATTATAAAAAAAAAAAAAAAACTCTTCAGGACATTGGCAATGATGTAGTAAATTTCATCTTTTTGCTATCTCTCCTAAACACTGTTTTACTATCCATTTACACAAGGTCATTGGGTACATTATGCACTACTTTCATGTTTCTTTTGCCTTCAATCTGTCCTGTGAGTATAAAATTTTCCAAGCCTTTCCTTATTATGTGCCCTAAAATTTCAACTATCCCTTTGTGATGTTAAGTATAAGTGTCCTTTTTGTTTCCATTTTCTTTTTCTGAAGTGAAATCCATGGAGAAGGAAATGGGAAATCACTCAACTGTCTTTCACAAGAAGTCATAGCAATTCCCAGATAATAAAGAAAAGGAATCTGTGGAAAATCATGACGGCATATTCGTTCAGGATGTAGGTAGGCAATTTTAAAAATAAGATACTTCTGTAGACAAAAAAAAAAAAAGGAAGGGACATTATTATTCTGAATTCCTAGTATTTTTTTTTTCAAATAAACAAAAATAATTCAAAATTTTTTTTTTTTTTCTATATTTTGAGTGTTCTTTACTTAATTTTACAAATAGATTTTGTGGGATTAGGACAAAAATATTTCAAGTTTACATGAATGAGATTTTTCTTATCAATGTCTTATTAAAATAAAATGTAATAAAAATTCAATGTTCAAATTAGTTTTCATTGTTTTAATGCAGTGGATCTCAACCTTTTTTTACCCATGGACCCCTTTCCCCTTCTTTTTATCTTGGTGGACCCCTTCATAGCTATTGGACATAAGAACAATTTTCTATTCTTCACTAATATAAATTTTAAGGTTTTAATTATCAAAGAAATAGTATACGATTAAGCTTTATTTTTAAATGAAAACTAATTTAATACAAATAAAATATTCTACTATAATTATAATAATAATTATTATTACTATTTTTAATTAACACAACAATTGAGTTTTGCCTGTGGACCCCCGGAAATATTACATGGACCCCTAGGGTCCATGTAGACCCCGGTTGAGAACCACTGTTTTAACGCATCAATATTGGAAAAATAAATACAAATGTAAAAAAGAAAAGAAAAGAAAAATAAAACCTCCACAAATATTTCAGCAGTTGGCATAATACTTACCTTTTTATTTTCAGGTCAAAGGTTTAAAATTGTGCAACATTCACTTAATTTTAAACATTTTATGGAGCAAGACAAAACCCACAGGGAAAAAAAAAAATTTTTCTTTTATTTAATGAGATACGTTTTATACTATTGTAAAATTCTATCTCTACAGGTTTTTCCTTTTCCTAACAGAGATACTAAAACTGACAATACACAAAATTTAATTAAAAATCAATCTCAAAGTAACACAACCACATTTTTAAATAAACCATTCATTCTTATAGACGAGATAATACTACATTGTGCTGCAGAAACATCTCCCATATAATGCGAAGACGTTAGCTAGATGAAGATACCATTGTCACTAATATCTTACTGTTATGTAAGAAGTATTTCTGATGCACCCTGTTTAACCCTTTGCCTGCCCTGTGCATTATATGTGATACACAGGACATGATTTTAAAAGAATGGTAAAACTAAGGACACTTAAGAAAAAGTCTGCTTCTGAGCAGGATGTCTAAGGAAAGACCTAATCTAATATTTTGTGCATCATATATGACCACAGGATGCTTGACTGATAATGTAAGGTCTCAAATGAATAAAACTTACCTTTTTATTTTCAGGTCAAAGGTTTTAAAATTGTGCAACAAAAATGTATCTTATTAGATAAAAGAAATTTTTTTCCCCTTTTAGTTATGTCTTGCTCCATAAAATGATTAAAATTAAGTGAATGTTGCACAATTTTAAGAAGTTCAAAGAGGAAGCCAATTCCAATTTATTAAAATGATTATGGCCTTTGCATCATGAGTGATGCAGAGAGCATAGTATAAATAATTTATGATTTATACATTCTGTGTATGACGTGATGCAAAGGTTTTTATTACGTGAAAAAACTATATATCAGCACATCGTATTTGCCAAATAAGTTGAGTTGCCTTGTAATAGAGGCATGAATGTTTAGATAGTACACATGAAAATTCCCTGGATAGACAAAGGATTAATAAGGTTTACTAAAAAATAGCATTTCTGTGCTCTTGTGTAGTAAATACAAATGACAGAATGATTAAATGATTTCCCACACTTTCATCAACATCCTCACCCCACCCATCATCTTATTTGGTTTACAATAATTTTCACTGTAGATGAATTATTTTCTTCCAAGGACTATGCTACATCAGAAAATATACTCTCATATATACTTGAACCGCATGCTTATTTTATAAACTGAAAAATCCTCCATCCCACCTCAGCACGACTATTCCAGACAGCTCTTGTATTAGACTTCTGAAAAATTCTCACCAGCATGACAATTCCAGGTAGCCTTAGATTTATGGCCACATGTTGAAACACTGGTTCTCATATGCTCACTGAAGTTAAGCAATGTCGAGCCTGGCCAGTACCTAAATGGGTGACCACTTAGGAATACCAGGTACTGTAACCTTGGATGTACAGGTAGTTTAATAGATAATGGCTTGAAATTGTTAATCAGAGAACCAAGTTCCAATTCTCATACGGTTCATTATATTCACTCACACGCAAATACTCTCAGGAAAGGTATGAACCCACTTCTCCCCAAAGCTATGGGTTAATTAGTAAGAATTATATCACTAAACCATTATTAACTACAAGAAAAAAATTTATAATCTAAAAATATTTTCTTTAAATAACCTGCAAAGATTTCTAAAAAATTCCCCATCACCACCGACATAACTATTCCAGATGACCCTTCTATCTAGGTACAAAAAGAGTAAATTAATAACAATTATTACTTTTATGAACTTACCAGTGTAATGGCCACCATTCATGTTACCATAATGATTGCAAACTGCAAACAAGTCGTAGACATCTCTGTGTCCATCTTCAGGTTCTGACATTGCAAAATCCAGACTTGAAGTACGATGACCATTGGATGTCCGTGGATGTTGACTGGTCAACGTAACTAGATGTTGACCAAGGTCTAATCCCCACATTGGGAATTCAACTAAAATATTTAGTTTGTTTCGTTGCATCTTTACCTGGAAAGTAAAAGGTAGCAGCTAAAAGTCAGCACACAAACTTTTATGCGAAAATAGAAAAATATATTTAAAATTCCCTTAATTTTATATATTAGTGGTCAGGAAGCTGATGCTGTAATGTAGATAAAAGGTTGAAGATGTGAATCATTTGTACATTTAATTGTGGCTTTTGTTAAAGATCAAATCAATCAATCAATGTTAGAAATTATTTAAATGCCATTGTATGCCCAACAACATATATATATATATATATATATATATAAAGAATTTAAATTAAAATAAAGCATTTGGTTTTTGTTTGTTTTTTTTAAAAACCCATATCTATTTTTCTCTCCTCCTCTTCCAACTCATGAGATGGCTACCCTCATATAAAAGAAGGAAGAAGAAAAGACTGAACCCAGCCACAAAATGGTAGAAGTTTTCTGGATCAGAGTTTAGCCTTTGTGACTAGAAATCTACCAAAATAAGAGGCTCCACGCATAACTTCTATAGTTGAGAAGTTTAGAAGTCAGACCTTCAGTAGTAGTTGTCATGTTAGGGTTAGACTAACGAAGCTCAGAGCAACATTAGATTTTAACTTTTCTTCTGAATTTTTGGCCCTTCAATAAAAACAAAATAAATAACAAAACATGTATTTTTTCCTCAGTTTCTTCTTTAAAAAATTTTAAATACAGATTAAATTTAAAATTGGTAATTTTAATTTTGAATTTTATAGTAAAATTTAATATTAATTAGTTAGAATGATTTCTATTTTAGTCTAACCATAACATTAAAGCATTAATTATTATAACTAAGGTTAGTTGTCAAGTTTTTTAAATTCTCATATACTTTGATTGGTCATTGCAGCTGATGTAACAGCATTTCCCCTAGCGAGGGGTGTTGGATTGATTTGAACCTTTTAAAACCCTTTATTCTACATTCGACACCATAACTTGATAAGACACCAGAAGTGTTGAAACAAAATGGCTATTTTTGTAGTGATTTTTATAACATATTTATGTTATAATTTTCAAATAATTATATTATTTGTTTATACCTTTGAGTAAATTAGTTTTATACCAGAGTTTAAGATAAACAAATACCAAGTTATCTGACACTAGCCACACCATTAAGATTTCCATTTTATCTGTTCTTTGGGATTTAACCCCTTCCCTGGTGTATACATGTATAGACATTTTTACTGAAAGTGTCTTTTTCAGACACAGACAAATAAACACGTCCAAAATATAATGTTCAAAAATCAGCTACAGACATGGACTATAATGAATAATAATGATATAATGAATAATAATGATATAATGAATAATAATGATATAATGAATAATAATGATATAATGAATTATAATGAATAATAATGATATGATATATAATAATGATATATAATAATGATATAATGAATAATAATGATATATAATAATAATGATATATAATAATAATGATATATAATAATGATATAATGAATAATAATGATATATAAATTCCATGAGTTTGTATATTATACGCCTTTGATGAAGCCCTTACTTGGAAAAGGTTATTGTGTTACTATGGATAACTATTATATTAGTCAGCAATTAGGTGATGCTCTGGTTAGGAACCAGTCTAATATTTATGGGACACTTCATTTGAATTGAAAAGAAGTGCCAGAACATCTAAAAGGGGGAAAAATTGAAAAAAAAGGGAAGTTATGGTATTTCAGAGAGGCAAGGTACTAACTCTTTGTTGGAAGGATAAAAAAGACGTTGCAATGTTTTCAACCATTTTCAACCATATCTATGTAGGACAATGAGACAAGACAGGAGCCTGTGAAGAAACCCAAAGTTGTATCTGATTACAATTGTTATAATTGATAAGGTGAACCAACAACTTGCAGATTATCCAATTCCAAGAAAACTGGGTAAGAAATATAATAAGAAAGTCTTCTTCTACCTGATAGATATTGCAGTATAGAATGCTTATATCCTGTATAACAAAGCAGTCAATCAAGCAGGACCAAAGCCCCTCTCACACCTGAAATTCCGTATGCAAATTATGAGTCAGATTTACCACCAAAAAGATCAACAGGTAGACCCTCAACATCACCAGGAAGTTTGCAGTATACACCAATAGGACATTATCTGATGGAAATCCCAGCAATAGAAAAAAAAGGCAAATCCATCTTGTATTTTGTGCAGGCAGAAACATAACCCAAGAGGGAAATCATCCTGGGTATGACGATAAACTACATCTGTGTCCTGGTTACGATGATAAACTACATCCAACAGCAAGATCAGGAGGTTTTGAGTAGCGTGAAACCACCTCTTAATTGCTGGTGTTCCCAGGTCCACCCTGACCTGGGGTGGTAGCACCTGTTAGGGTCCCAGCTATGGGCAAATAGTTAACCTCAAAACTAGGGTAAAAACACTATGAAAGTCTAAAAATAGGTTTTAATACCAGAAATACTTTGTAAAAAATTACTACCAGTAATAAATTTTAGAAGAAAAAAATATTACCAGCAATACATAAATATTAAAATTATAAGAACAAATTTTGCTCTAATAAACAAAAGCAAGGAAATTCAATTCAGTTTTGAAAAAAAACGATATTACCAGCTATACATTTTTGAGGAAAAAAAATATTACCAGAAATAGGTTTTTGACAAAACAAAATATTATCAGCAATAAAAAAATTTTGTCAGCATTAAATAACCCTTTGAGGTGTTGATATGCCGTAAAACAAACCAAACCAAGAGGGAAACCAGTCAGGAAAGAGTCATGATATATGAACAAATTGTGCCAAGTACCTTTATGAGTAGTGCCATGCTTTAAAAAATACCATAAAATATAATTTCATTCATAAAATGGCAGATGGGATAATTCTATTCATTTATATTTGTAAATAAAAAATTTGTGCTATTTTTTGCTAAAAAATAATTTCATTCATAAAATGCCAGAAAAAGGAATCTCATTCATTTATATTTGCAAATTATTTTAAACTATATTTTTGCTAGTAATAATAAAAATAAAAAACAAAATTTTTAATAAAAATAAAAACAAATTTTCCATTTACCTTTATATTTGGTAATAAAATTATATAAGAAAGAAAAAAAAAATAGGTTATAGAATACAGTTTATGGGGAGACGTGTTTACAAAATATAATTTCAACCATGAAAATATTAAAAAAATTAAAATGAAAGTTATTTTTCATAATCAGCATAAAAACTCCTATATTAAAAACAAAAAACTCATCTGAAAATGAAACGTTTTTCCCAAAATAATTGGCAGGAAAGGGGTTAAGGGTTATAAGAAACTGAGATTTTATCCCAATTTTTATATTGACTATAGCAGAAATTTCTATCCTCTGTGGTTCAGGTAAACTTTCTTTTTTTTTTTTTTTTTCATGGTGGGCTGCATCATTGTTGGCCCTGTGCCAAAGTGAGTCACATCACAATAACACAAGTTTCACAATGACACTGCAAATTATTTGCTTATTAGACACATTTTGTGAAATGGTTTCACAAATATATGAGAAATTAGCCTCATAAATTTACTACTGAGATTTGTGAAGCTATGAAAATTTTTCATAAAATGGAGTCAGTTTACTTGTTGATGTATGCAACATAGACTTCATATTCAAATCTTTTAACTGAGACTTATTTTTGATTTTGTTAATGAAAATAAAATAAATATTACAGCCATCTATCATCCAGTTCACATTCCTCCTCATTCTTTCAAACAAGAGTAGAAATTTGTCCCTTCTATATTTCTAATGTTTCTGCCTAAACTCCGAGATTTTATTTACTTTTATTTTTTTCTTCTCAATAGTAGTGGGGAGGTTCACCTATCATCCAGTTCACCTCCTCCCACACTTTTGAACAGAAGTAGAAGTTTATCCTTTTTTTCCTGTTCAGGATTTGCTTTTCAGTTCCTTCTAAAGTCTTTTTCATTCTATTTCACTCCCAGTAGCCCCTTGCATCTTAGTGGCATTATCACCTTGCTTGGGGTGAAGTGATTAATAAAATTTCTGTCTGTTTTATTTTTTTCCACTGTTTGGAATAAATTATTATTTCATGATAATATGCAACCAAAAAATACCAAAATTTTTAATTGATATAAAAAAAATTAACAAAAGCTGCTTGTTGAGCTCTTATGAGCCATTTAAAATCAACATGCAGATTGCATGCAACTTATAGATCATAGTTTGCCCAACCCTGCACCATAGAATTGCTATCATCTGCAGTAAATACATTTATTTAAAGAAACAGAAATTTAAAGTGAAGCTTAAGTTAAAATGTCTAATCTTTTCAGATACAAAAAAAATCTAATGTATTATTTTAAGAATTTAACATTATCAGACATTTCTCCTTAAATGCAATAAATTTTTACTAAGACTAGATTTTTTTCTGCAACACACTAACACGTGTTAAAATCCTCACAGTATTTAATATTGTTGATGCTATCACTAACATTTTTTGTCAAGATTTACACACTCTGTTTCATTCAATTTCACAAACCAATCGATGACATTTGAATAAGCTGATTTGTTTGGAAAAATACTTTGACAAAAACCCTACTTCATAGTTTTTACGCAGCCAACTGTATTTGTACTCACTTACCTGTTTGCACTTCTTCCCAAAAGTGTGGTTATTTTAGAGGGTGTGGTCAACTAATAGAAGTTATGAAATTTTATATATAGACATTTAAGTAGTAAGTACTTAAATACAATATTTCATTTAAATATCATTAACGTCAAAGAAAATAACAAAATATTTCATAAAACGACAAAAAAGAAAGAAGAGATAAAATTATTCACAAAATAATCCCTTTAAAAACTTAATTCTTAAACTATTACTAAAATTAATTTCAAGATAATAACAAAACATTTCACTTAAACACTTCCATTAAATATAATCAAGGTTTATTAAAATATTTAAGTGTACAAGACATAAATTTTACTAAAATATCAGGGGACATAAACAAGCGTAATTCAGTTGGTGATACGTGGATCCAACCTAGTCGTGTAAAAGTATTTTTGCAGATATTGAGCAAAGTTTTCTATTTTAAAACTTGAACATTAGCCTTTTATTATAATTCACACATGAACTTACTTGCTTAAAACGTTTTAAATGCACAACTAAAATGCCAGGTAATGACCATAGTCGCAAATTTTTTGTTGCTCCTTGTTGATCTTTGTGGCAATGGGGACATCTCCAAGCATCACCACTCAGCTGAAAAGAAATAAAAAAAAGAATCATATTTAAAACTTTGTTTAGTTGATAAAAATTTAAAGAGTATTTTTAGATTTTATTGTGATTATCAAATATTTTTCAGATATAAGGAAAAAAGGGACAAAAATTATTCATTAACAAGAAAGCAAATATACAATTTTTTTTTTCAGTAAAAGATTGTATAGTGTGTGTGTGTGTTATAATAAAATTTCAAATCTACAAAGTCATTGGTTCAGTTAATTTTTTTTTTTTTTTATCAGGTCATATGCACCAAGGGAGATAACCAGAGACATCTTAGAGCAATCACAGCAACATAAAATTGCTGACAATGCCTCACAAGGGTTTCAACAGCAAAGATCTATTTTAGATTGGATTTTTTTTTTTTTTTTATATTAACAAAAAATAAACATACACAACGTTAAAATAGTTCTCATTAAAGTTCAAATTCAAGCACTTTGTTTTCTTAGCACTAATGCCCTTGGAAAAGGTATAAATTCATCTTCCTTCAGCTTGTTCTCCTTACCTTTGGTTTGGTTTGGTTTGTTTTGTGGCATATCAACCTCAATGGGTTATTTAATGCCAACAAGATTTTTATTGCTGGTAATATTTTTCTTCAACAATGTATTACTGTAAGATTTTTTTTTTTTTCAAAAATGTATATGCTGGTAATATATAGCTGGTAATGATTTTTTTCTTCAAAAATTCATTGCTGATAAAAATTTTTTTTTTTACAAAAATGTATTGCTAGTATTAAAACCTATTTTTATATATTTTGACCCCAGTTGGGACCCTAACAGCTGCTACCACCCCAGATTAGGATGGATTTAGGAACACCAAGAGGTGGTTCCATGCTCCTCAAAACCTCCTGATCAGATGCCTTTCTGTTGGATGTAGTTTATCATTTTACACCTTTATCTTTGGTAGGGTAACCAGTCTGGAAGAACAAGAATTGAATTCAAAACCAGCCAGAAAAAGGGAAAGGGTTCTGTCAGGCTATCTTACTCTAAGCATACCAATTGTTGCTACAGCTGCAGTACATGTAGTGCCCCTAATGGGTTACATGTAGTGCCCCTAATGGGTTACATGTAGTGCCCCTAATGGGTTACATGTAGTGCCCCTAATGGGTTACATGTAGTGCCCCTAATGGGTTACATGTAGTGCCCCTAATGGGTTACATGTAGTGCCCCCTAATGGGTTACATGTAGTGCCCCTAATGGGTTACATGTAGTGCCCCCCTTCATATGTAAGCCCTAATGGGTTACATGTAGTGCCCTAATGGGTTACATGTAGTGCCCTAATGGGTTACATGTAGTGCCAAATAATGGGTTACATGTAGTGCCCCTAATGGGTTACATGTAGTGCCCCTAATGGGTTACATGTAGTGCCCCTAATGGGTTACATGTAGTGCCCCTAATGGGTTACATGTAGTGCCCCTAATGGGTTACATGTAGTGCCCCTAATGGGTTACATGACACATGATCATTATTGGACATACCTTTGCCTCCAAAAGTAGGAGGTTTTTGGAATCATTTTTCACCTGGATGAGAACCTACTATTCATTTGTTTTCATTTTTAAAATTCATTTAGTAAGCTTCCATTAACAGGAAATGTGGCTAGCGACTTCTCTGTAAAAATGAGACATTGTGCAGCAATCAATAAATTGCCAGATGCTTTTCAGAATTTTTTTAGAAATGAAAGTTGTCTTTTTGTTCCTAATTTTCATCAGTGAACCTTCCTGATGGCATCAATTCTTAACTCAAATCTATGCTAATGACACAACCATTTACTTCTGTCTCAATAGTAAGCCTGATTGGTTCAATAAGGTTAAATTGGCAGTTGATCTCAAAAATGACCTACAATCTACTGTTAACTGGGGCAAGGAATGGTTTGCTAATTTTAGCATCTCCGAAACAAAACCACTCTATTGTTTCAGAAATCCTTTTCTACTATCCATCAGCATGGCTGATGCTAACCTCCAGAAGAGTGACTCATTCACCTTCCTAAGTTTACATTCTCAACTGACATGAAGTGGAAAGATTATATTGAGTCAATTGCTAGGTCTGCTGCTAAGAAAGTTGGTTCAATGTGTTGTGCTTAGTAATTTTTCTCTTCAGAATCTATCTTACATATTTATAAGTCTACCATTTGTCCTTGCTTTGAATATTGCTGCTATATATGGTCTGGTGCTCCTGCTGTATATTTAGAAATTCTTCATAAAATCAAAAGAATCAGCAATATTATTGTATTTCTCTTTTTTTTCTTTTACTTTCATCCTTTGTAACTCCTTGTATCTTAGTGGCTTTACTACCTTGCTTGGGGTGAAATAATTAAAAAAAAAAAAAAAAAACTGTTTTTACCTCTTCTTCTTGTGTATAAAGGTGAAAGCATTCTTCCAATGTCGTATTTCCCATCTTCTGCTGAGCATTTCGAACCTTCATCACACTCGGTTGTTCTTCTACTATTTCTTCCTTGTTAGCCACAATCCTAGAAAAGAAAGTTTTTCACAAATGCTATAAGTAAATATGTATTTAACAGATCGTGACAGCTATTAGGGAGATGTGATTAAATATAATGTTTAAAAAACTTTATTCAGTATTATTATTTTGGTAATAAGCATTATAACATAGAACACTTTTTTTTTTTTTTTTTTTTTACATATTTATGGTTATTTTTTAACCTTTATCAAAAACAACATTCTTCTACATGTAGTTATGGATGAAAATATACATTAATTACTTAATTTTTTAATTAATAACTATTTGTGCTCAGTTGTTGACATTAACAGCTATCTACTGATATGTTAAAATTGTGGAATAATGCAATAATAAAAACTTAAATTTCATTTGATAGATGTTGCAATCTGTAAATATGTATACTCGAATTGGACATTCATTAGAGAAAATATCAAACGCTTCCAATATTTTAACCGTTAGCACTCTGCATTACTTCCCATTCATTTTAAGGCTTTTCAATTGCAGTATCCTAATTGTTAATTTCACTCAAAGTTGTTTTCTGTTGCCATAGTAGGATATGACAGCACATCTATGACATTCAAACACACTATTGTTCAGGAATCAGAGTCACCTTCAGTGGCAGGATAAACTTTTTGTACAGCATATGAATTCACAGAGTGATAAAGGTTAAAAGTCAAAGATTTTAACAAAATAAAAGAATTGGACTTACATTTCCCTTATCCGAGTTTCCCATTCAACTATCATTTTTATATGTGATAATCCTGGATTGCTGTCATAAGCAGAAAGTGCTCTGAAAGAGAAAGAAAATAAATGAGATTCCTGTCTACTGTTTAATAATTATACCAAAGTGCTTTGTCAGTCATTTACAGATTGAAGCCCTTCCATTGCACTCTGATTGGGTCGACATTTGCAATTGCCCCAAATGTAGGCGACTCGGGTGCACTATTTTTAAGTGTGAGGTCATTGTTTGCACTCACCCTGATAAACAAGCCCAAAACAGATTTCTTTCTTTTTTTGTTAAATTGAAAAAAATCCCTTGTAAGTACCTCAAATATCATCTGCACTTATGAAATATGAATAACTTTCTGATTTTGGGGTTGGAATTGTTGAGAGGCAAGCTACACAAATTTTGATTTAAAATTTATAATTTCAAAAGAGTGCCAAGAATTTCATTAAAAAAAAAAAACGAACAAACTTTGATTTAAAATTTATAATTTCTTTGGATGAATTAATATTTGCGATAAGTAACTTTATATTATTTGGGGTGAATTAACAGAAAACATCTGGTAAAAATTATGGAGATAATTTTTAATGTTCTATAAAAATAGACATTTATCACATATATACATGTGTTTAGCTGTGATTTCTACAAGTCTGCTACCGAGTGATTCCTTAGGGGTAAGGAAATTACCAC